GGGATGGTGCCTGGCCCCCTGCTGTGCCCTATGCCTCATGCTGACTCACTTTCCCCAAGCCCTACCCCTACGCTACCCCACTCTTTTTCCCCCAACTTCTTATCTCCAGTCTGCCTCTTCCTACCCCTGTTCTGACCCTGCTCCCACCCCAACTTCTCCCCTGAGCACACCCCATTCCCTCTCCTTCATCTCCTCAGAACTTGTTCAGAAAGCTCCAGGAGGGCAGGGGATAAGTACATCATTGGCGCCACCAGCAGGTAAGATGGGCAGGACCTTGGTACTGGTGGGTGCTCAGCATCCACTAATTTTCTCCCATGGGTGCTCCATCCCCAAGCATTCACGGAATCGGTGCCTATGGGTAGCATGCCGAACCAGTGTTTCTGGGCCCCTCTATGCACCAACTAGGCTAGTTCTATTGGCATACCAGAAGAAGTATACTGCATAGGTCTAGACCTGGTTGCAGAACAGGGAGAGACTGGGGTGAAAGCTGTGTCTGATTCTAGGACGACTCCTGGCGTAGTACTATGTTGTAGAGTCCTTTGCTCGTGATAAAGGTATAGCTGAACCCCAGTATGGGATCCCTCTGGTAAAAATCTTCTATCTTTCCACCCTGTCAATCACATCATTCTTTTAGGGAAACAGGGCTCAATGACAGAAATCTCTGTAGCAGTATATACACTAGGTCTTATGCATTTGGGTTGCAGGGGAATACCATTAACTCTTATAAAACAAAGGCTGTGATGGTTTTACAATCCCACCCAAAGAGCTAGATGATTTGCTCACAACCATGGGATGCAAATCCTAATGTCCTTTTCATCTTGTCTGTTCCTTAGATGACCAATGCAACAACCAACCTAGGATCACAGATTTGCTTACAAGGCAAAGACACATGAGCCTTTTGAGTAGTCTTGCACATATTGCGTTTTCCCTGCTTCTTCATGTAAAACTCTTGAGGAAGTTCAAGAATATCCACTGTAGACTGAAGGTTTCTGGTTAGGCATCTCTGTCCCAGGAAAAATTTACTGGATAAGACCCTGTATAGTGTTTTGTGTAGGGTTAATAGAAAGAATATCATTAGACTCCTGCATGGATATCTGCAGATTTGCAGGGTTCTAGATACAAAATTGGTATTCGCATCTGCAAAAATGAACTGCAGATATCCACATCCATAGATGCAGATACCTGTGGATATAAAGTGGATATCCTTGGATTTGCAGAGCTCTAAAAATGGATGCAAGGCATTTGAAGGACATGTTACTAATGTCTGTCATTGAATGGAATGGGTATATTTCTTTAGGAGAATAGAGCTGATAGCCCTCAAGGGAATTATTTATCTGGGATACCCTCAAGGCACCTGTTGTTATATGTGGTTTGGTAGACAAGCTTGAGCACTGTATAGGGGTCTGTATAGCATTTTGTTCTATCAGCTGGGCTCTTTCCATGCATTCAGTGAATTCCATTATTTCTCCTCAGGTTGCCATGAAGCACCCGTCTGCTGTGACAGCCTGTAACCTCGACCTGGAGAACCTAGTGACTGATTCCAACCGCAGCATTGCTACTTTGGCTATCACCACACTGCTGAAAACTGGCAGTGAGAGCAGCATTGACCGGCTCATGAAGCAGATTTCCTCCTTCATGTCAGAAATCTCAGATGAATTCAAGGTATGGAAGGTGTACCCTGGGGGGATGGTACTGGGCCTTTTTCTTTCTCTGTCTGGGCCAGGTTACACCACTCTTTCACTTCCAGAGCCTGGACTTCAGATCTGCTAGAAACATGAGTGTAGGGGTTGATGGTATTGACTTATCCCAGAAGTACTGTAGGCTCTGTTCTGGAGAGCCCCCTTTAAAATTCAATCTCTATTCAACTGGGCCCCCATCACCAGCCTTCTTCAGGGACTAATTAGTGCAGGGAGATAGAGAGATAGACATCCCCTCTCATCCTTATGGGTATGTCTACACTACAAAGTTAGTTCGAACTAACTTTCATAGGCGCTACACTAGTGCTCCGTTAGCTGGAATTTAATTTGAACTAACGGAGCGCTTAGTTCGAACTAGGTAATCCTCATTCCACGAGGATTAAGCCTAGTTCGAACTTACTAGTTCGAATTAAGGGCTATGTAGACCCTTAATTCGAACAAGTGGGAGGCTAGCCCTCCCCAGCTTTCCCTGGTGGCCACTCTGGCCAACACCAGGGAAACTCTATTGCCCCTCTCCCGGCCCTGGACCTCTTAAAGGGGCACGGGCTGGCTACGGTGCCCGTGCTAGGTGCAAGCCTGCCAGCACCCAGCTAGCAGACCCTGCACCTGGAACCGTCTAGGGCAGTAGAGCTGCCAGCCTGGCCACCCAGGAGCAGGAGTGCATGAAAATCAAGGGGGTCCACTGAGACCCCCGACCCTGAGCCCTGAGCTTACAATGGCCGTCCTGGGTCAGACCAAAGGCCCTTCTGGCCCAGTAGCCTGTCTGCCGACAGCGGCCAACCCTGGAGGGGATGGACCAAAGACAGTGACCAAGCCATTTGTCTCGTGCCATCCCTCTCCAGCCTTCCACAAACTTCGGGGAGGGACACCACTCCTACCCCCTGGCTAATACCATTCCATGGACCCAACCTCCATGAATTGATCTCACTTCTCTTTAAACTCTGTTCTAGTTCTAGCCTTCACAGCCTCCTGCAGCAAGGAGTTCCACAGGTTGACTCTGTGCTTTGTGAAGAACAACTTTCTGTTACTAGTTTGAAGCCTGTTACCCATTCCTTTCCTTTGGTGTCCTCTAGTCCTTCTTTATGGGAACTAATGAAGAACTTTTCTGTAGGCACCCTCTCCACCCAACTCCTGCTTTTAGAGACCTCTGTCCTGTCCCCC